TCATACCATATGCATGCTATAAAATTATTGGACAAAAATATTACTAGCCTGTCACAGACACATTGGACTTGCCTTTTCTCCTTATGACTGCATCATGTGTGATGATCTGAAATGGAGTGAAGACAGAAAAATAAGAAAATTCAAGAATGTACTACAGAGTGATCTTCTTCCTCTTACAGCACCCGTTGAAACCACTCATGGCTTCTCTGTCTGCATCCTCTCCACACAAATATATTCTTTAAGGCACTAGCCCCATATCATATACCTGCAGGTCAGCCTATAACAGGCTTTACCTCAGAAGCCAAAGATCTATAACTATGCAAGTATTTGTGTTGTATAATATGGAGCAGCACCAAGAAATTAAGTGGCAGACAGTAATGCCCACGACTAACGTGACCCCTGGATCCCCTCCCAAAGCAGTCTCTATATCATAACTATCAACTGTGAAAATAATATGCATTTTATATGTTCTACCTAATTGTTGGGTAACCTGTATTTTAAAATCTTAAGCTCCTCGTTTTAATCTACTTTGTCCCATCAGAGTACTTCCTTTCCTCAACTTTCTCGTTTACAAGGCCATTTTTATTTTTATTTTTGCCTCACTCTGTACTGATGGTCCCTAATCTACTCAGTCAGTTCCTTCTCTTCTATGATGTCTATTTTCAGACACCTAGGAGATTGACAACTCCTAGAAATACCACTTACCCAACTGCTTCCTTCCTCTTCTTTCATACTAGGGCATAAACTTTACTGTATCTTAAACGCTTCTTCCTAAATGCCTCACGACTATGATAAACTTGACGTGCTTACAACTGAAGGGATCTTGTCCAAGTTTTGTGCACTTGCCAATTTTACAGGAAGTGCTGAATTGACTGTGTGTGTATTTGTGTGTCTGCGCTTACAACAAAATGTTAACTACAGTTCTCTCTAGCTATTGAGATGTAGGTCATTATTTCTTCCTCCTCCTACCTTATCTTTCTTTTCTCTTTTTTCCTTTCTCTTCCTCTACCTCTCCCTCCTCTGCTAATTCATACCTCATCTCTGGTTATAACATTTCAATAAACTTCTAAGATGTTTTTATAATGGAAGTATCTTACTTTCTGTTAGCATCCAAGTACCATGAAGCCCATAGCTATCAGCACTTGAAAGTTTGATGCCTAGCAACTCAGCTACTCATTTTTATCTTCCATGTCAGCTTGGCGCAATGTTTGCTAAGCGAGAAGGTTTGCCAACTATAGCTACCTCACACTACTTAAGGTCATGATATGAAAATTTTCCCATCCAAACATGGACATCACCTGTGTTAAGTGGATATAGTATTGGAGACCCTAAAATAAACCTGTATCGCCAAATGTAAAATGTAGGTATATCAATCAATAAACAACAGCTCTATTAAGCCTCCCAAGATAATCCAAACTCACTGGATAACTGATGAGAAGGATGTGACAATTGGTGCTCATCTGAAAGTGACTTACAAAGTGTGTCAATGTCAGCATACAGTCATTCATCCAGTATATTTATTGAACTCCTACCATGTGCTAGATAGGTTGTGAATGCTCTTCAGAATGAAACTTTTGGTAACTGATAAAGGGTATTCAAAGAGAGAGTTTGAGTGTATTCTTATATCAGGGATACAACAAATATGACCAAAGGAAAGAATATTCCAGCTGCAGACCACAATTAACCTGGTTCATTCAAAAAGGGAAGACCCTGCCGGGCACGGTGGCTCACACCTGTAATCCCAGACCTTTGGGAGGCTGAGGTGGGCAGATCATGAGGTCAGGAAATCAAGACCATCCTGGCTGACATGGTGAATTACTGTCTCTACTAAAAATGCAAAAGTTAGCTGTGCATGGTGCCATGTGCCTGTAGTCCCCGCTACTTGGGAGGCTGCGGGAGGAGAATCACTTGAACCTCGGAGGCAGAGGTTGCAGTGAGCCACAATCGCCCCCACTGCACTCCACCCTGGGCAACAGAGCAAGACACCATCTCAAAAAAGAAAAAAAAGGGAAGACCAAACAGACCAGTTTGGGCTGACAGTCTCCTTCAAGATAATCCATCTCTCTTTATTCTGACTGAACTCAGTAGGGGTTTCTTTTCAAAATGTAAATATCTGTATTATTAAAAGGGATTTTTTCTTGATAATATAGAATCGTTTTTAAAAAAGAAATTAACCATAGAGAAAGTGGAAGTTTCCTTATAATTCCAACCTCCAAATGTAAACACTGTTAACAATTTGCTGTACACCGGTAGACTTTCTCATTGTATTTATTAATACATTATTAATAAATATGTAGTTCTTCACAATATGCATACTGTTCTATAATCTACCAAATAATCTGCTGACTTTTTAGGAAGCAAGCTTATTTCTTATGCAGCTGAAACAATAAACAAGCAATGTGGATATTTTGAGCCACTTAGCATCTCTCTTGGTATAAAGAAATATATTTACATTGTTATTTAAAAGATAAAGTAAATTCAAAATCTAGAGTTTGATCTCCCCACAGGGAAATAATTTTTTTAAAAAACCTTAAGGATCAATAGGGTAACAAGTGGCAAGTTCCAATTGCTCTCCCATCTCATAAAATAATAAAATCAAATTTTCTGAGAAGATTCTGTGAAAATGGCAAAATAGGAAACATCAGGAATCTATCTTCCACCTAGACAACAATCGCACTGGCAGAACATGTCTGATGTAACTATTTTGGAACTCCGTAGTTTACTGAAGGATTGAAATTTTCAAGGAACTAGATGATGTTTTAGTACGTTCAGGCTGCAATAACAAAATACGTTAGACTGGGTAACTTATCAAGAATAGAAATTTATATCTTATTGTTCTGGAGGCTGGTAAGTTCAAGATCAAGTCACCAGTGGTATCTAGTCAGATCTGCTTTCTCATAAACCACACCTTTTTGCAGTATCCTCATATGGTAGAAGGGACAAAAAAGTTCTCTCGGGCCTCTTTTATAAGGGCACTAATAAATAAGGAAATTGGAAGCCCTCATGATTTAATCACCTCCTAAAAGTTCCACCTCTTAAAACTAGTGCATTAGATTTCATCATATAAATTTTGGGGGACACAAACATTCAGGTCATAGCAGATGATAATTACAGTTAGTTTTAGTCAATTTCACCAATTAGCACAGTAGCAGCAATTCATAACCAACCCCTATCTCTGGCAGGCAGCCATATGCATATTCTAAGAGCAGCTTGCATGTAGCTAGAGGGAGTTGCTGTGCTCAAAAAGCACTCCGTTTTCCAAATATTAGAGATCTGATCTCTGATTACTGATTTTTGCTTCTGATCATACTAAGGCAGCCATTGTTGTTATATCTCCTCTCGTTACTTCAAGCCCATCCCCTTCTGGCTGAAGTGAGTTTCAGAACATTTAAAGTGCTGGCACCCTCTTGCACTCTTCATTTTTCTCCTTTTCTTATTTGGGGAGCCAGACAGTAAAGACTAGAACATCCAAAAATGTATTAATCCGTTTTCACCACTGCTATGAAGAATTACCTAAGAATGGATAATTTATAAAGAAAACAGGTTTAATTGGATCACAGTTCAGCAGGCTTAACAGGAAGCATGACTGAGAGGCCTCAAGAAACTTACAGTCATGGTAGAAGGCAAAAGGGAAGCAAGCACCTTCTTCACACGATGGCAGGAATGAGAGAGCAAGGGGGTAAGTGCCACACACTTTTAAACCACTAGATCTCTTGTGAACTAATTCACTATCATGAGAACAATTAGAAAAATATGGCCCCATAATCCAATCGCCTTCCACCAGGTCCTTCCCACAGCATGCAGGGAACAGCCCTTTTGGCTACTTTCACTGGCTGGCATTAAATGCCTGTGGCTTTTCCAGGTGCATGGTGCAAACTGTCAATATATCTACCACTTTGGGGTCTGGAGGACAATGACCCTCTTCACACAGCTTCCTGACACAGTGCCCCAGTGGGGACTCTGTGTGGGGGCTCCAACACCACATTTCCCCTCCACACTGACCTAGCAGAGGTTCTTTATGAGGGCTCCAGCCCTGCAGCAGACTTCTTCCTGGACATCCATGTGTCTGCACCCACAGGCCCAATATCATGTGGAAGCTGCCAAGGCTCGGGATTTGTACACTATGGAGCCACAGCCTGAGCTGTACCTTGAAACTTTTAGACATTGCTGCAGCTGGAGTGGCTGGGACACAGGGCACCATGTCCTGAGGCTGCACAGAGCAATGGGGCCCTAGACCTGGCCAATGAAACCATTTTTCCCCTCTAGGCCTCTGGACCTGTGATGGGAGGGACTGCCATGAAGATATCTAAAATCCCCTGGAGACATTTTCCCCATTGTCTTGGCTATTAACATTTGGCTTCTCTTTACTTATGTCAGTTTCTGCAGTCAGCTTGAATTTCTCTCCAAAAAATGGACTATTCTTTTCTACCTTATGGTGAGGCTGCAAATTTTCCAAACTTGTACACTCTATTTTCCTTTTAAATATAGTTTTCTTTGCTTATGCAAATGAGCACAGAATTTTAGGAGCAGCCAGGCTACATCTTGAATGCTTTGCTGCTTAGAAATTTATTCTGTTAGATGCTCTAAATTATCTCTCTCAAGTTCAAAGTTCCATAGATCCCTAGAGCAGGGTCATAGTGCCACTAGCCTCTTTGCTAAAGCATAGCAAGAGTGACCTTTGCTCCAGTTCCCAATAAGTTCCTCATCTTCTTCTGAGACTCCCTCAGCCTGGACTTCATTTTTCATATCACTATCAGCTATTTGCTCACAACCATTCAACAAGTCTCTATGAAGATCCAAACTCCACATCGTCCTGTCTTCTTCTCATACCTCCAAACTATTTCAAACTTTGCCCATCACCCAGTTACAAAGTTATTTTCACATTTTCAGGTATCTTTATAGCAATGCCTCACTCCTGGTACCAATTTTTTGTATTAGTCTGTTTTCACACTGCTATAAAGAACTTCCTGAGACTGAGTTATTTATAAAGAAAAGAAGTTTAATCAGGTCACAGTTCCACAGGCTTAATAGGAAGCATGACTGGAAGGCCTCAGGAAACTTACAGTCATGGTAGGAGGTGAAAGGAAAGCAAGCACCTTGTTCATGTGGTGCCAGGAGAGAGAGAGCAAGTAACCAGAGAAGTGCCACACACTTTTAAACTATCAGATATTGAGAGAACTCATTCACTATCATGACAACAGCATGGGGAAATTTATCACCATTATCCAATCACCTCCCACCAGTTCCCTCCCGCAACATTGTGAATTACAATTCAACATGAGATTTGGGTGGGGACACAGAGCCAAACCATATCAAAAAGCAACTGCATATATGGGGGAAATTATTAGATAACTGCAACCATTATTTGCAAATCATACATCTGATAGGTAATTAATATCTGGGATACACAGAAAATTCTTAAAACTCAACAGCAATTACAATAAAAACTCATTTCAAAAATAGGAAAAGGACATGAATAGACATTTCTCCAAAAAAGATACACAAATGGCTAATAAGCTACTATCAAAAGAACAAAAAATATCAAGTTTTGGTAAAGATGTGGAGTACTGGAATGCTTGTGCACCGTTGGTGAATATATAATGTCACAGTCCCTATGGAAAAGAAAATGGCTGCTTGTCAAAAAATTAAAAATAGGAATGTCATATAATCCAACTTCTGGGTGTAAACTCAAAAGAATTGAAAGCAGACTCGAACACGTATTTGTACACACATGTTCACAGCAACATTATTCACAACAGGTAAAATGTGGATGCAACTTAAGTGTCCATTGACAGATGAATGCATAAGCAGAATGTTTGTGTGTGTTTGTGTGTGTTCGTGTGTGTGTGTGTGTGAGATGAAAAATTATTCAGCCTTAAAAGGAAGGAAATTCTGACAAATGCTACAACATAGAAGAAACTTGAGAAAATTATGCTATGTGAAATGTCAATTACAAAAGACATTTGTGATTGATTCCACTTAATATATATGATATATGATTCCACTTAATGTATATGATATATGATTTCACTTAAATGAGGTGTTTAGAGTAGTGAAAATCATAGAGAAAGAAGGCAGATGGTGGTTGCTAGGGGATGGTGAGGTGTAGGGTACGGGGAGTTATTATTTAATGCTGTAGGGTGTCAGTTTTACGAAAATTGTTCTGGAAATGGATGGTGGTGTTCTGGAATGTTCTCAAAATAGACGCTTGCAGAACACTAGGAATATATTTTATACCACTGAATGAAACACTCAAAAATTTTTAAGATGGTATATTTTAATTTATGAGTATTTTACAATTAAGAAAATGGAAACAAAATAAATTATCTAAATCAATAGTGTTGAGAACCAAGTGCTCTTGTTGGAAATTGACTGTCACAGAAACTAAAGGAGGAGTCTGAGCCATGGGAGCTCGAATGAGAAAGTCTTGACTTAGAGTTTATAATTAAAGACATCCTTCCCACCAAAACTACAGCTAAGGGGAAAGGCAATACAATTTCAATAATTTTCAAGGTTTGCAACAGCAGATATCATATTCCTTGACAGTTCTGAATAGAAGTTAAATCTTGACAATGAAAGAAATAAATATAACAATAAAGTGAAATTATATGATCATTTTCAGAATAAAAACATAAGGTAGTTCCCTCTTCTGATACTTATAAGAATCTCATCTTTACACATATCTTACAATTTTGTGAGGAGGGTTTGGTTTACTGATTGTTTCACTTTAAGTAGTACCTGAAATGCTTTTTTTTTTTTTTACTACATTGAACCTGTTTTTTATCAAAAAGAAAGAGTGACTGTCTTTTTAGGCTTACTTTAATCAATTTTTAAAAGTTCAAATATCAAATTATTGGGGTAATTTTTTCAAACTTTTTTCAAATTTACGGTCTTTCAAAATGATTTTGAAAATATAATATAAGTTTCTTTTTTAATGGGCTTTAAAAATCTAAACAACTTGTGCTTAGATCCCAGTTCTGCCAATCAATGCAATTGTAAGCAATCAACTTAGGGCCCTTGTGTCTAGGAGTTTTTTAACTTATAAAATGGATATATTTAGTAATATTCCATAAAATTATTATAAAGATTAAATGAGATATTTTCTATGAAGTGTTTAAAACAATGTCTGATACAATAAGATAAGATTCTTGAATCTTGTATAAATGTTTATTAATTAAAATAAACATATTTCAGCTACTGGCAGGGTGCACAAACACAGCGCTGGGTATTTAATAAATTCTACTGAGTGAATGTTACGAAAACACATGCATTGGCAAGTAAGTGAAGTGTTATACAAAGTGATGTGTCAATCATTTTCCACCTTCTCCAAGTAAGGTTAGAGCTCCCTTCTCAAAAATTCCTCAGCATTATGTTCATGCTTTTATTGTATAATTTTTTTCTTTTTTTGAGATGGAGTCTCACTCTGTTGCCCAGGCTGGAGTGCAATGGTGCAATCTTGGCTCACTGCAACATCTGCCTCGCAGGTTCAAGTGATTCTCCTGCCTCAGCCTCCAGAATAATGGGGACTACAGGTGCACACAATGATGCCCGGTTAATTTTTGTATTTTTAGTAGAACAGGGTTTCACTATGTTAGCCAGGCTGGTCTCAAACTCCTGGCAACCTGAGGTAATTTACCACCTTGGCCTCCCAAAATGCTGGGATTACAGGCATGAGCCACCACGCCTGGCCTATTATATTTTAACCATAGAGTTCTCTATAGCCACAATTGTCTCTTGTTCAGATCTGTAACCTTGGACCCTGGCATGGTGTGTGAGGCTTAAGAAGTTCTCAATAAGTATTTTTTGAATAATTGAATTTCAATTACTTAAATGAAAGATAAGATTCACTTGTAGCAGAACACTTGTCAGAATAATCACCCAGCCAAACTGACTGTTCCTGGGGAAGGAGAGACAGCCCTGAAGAATGCTAACATGGATAAATTTAAAGTAAGAAAGGTTCATAATTTGTGGCTCAATTACGCATTAAACAGTCAATTAATAAGTATCTTCTGTATGGAAGGCACTGTACAAGATACAAAAATAAAAGAAAATAACATTTCCCTGTCCTAGAAGAGCTTACATTTGAGTCGAGAAACCGACATTTTTACATAAGTCCCTCAAAGTAAGATATGACAAATTCTTTATTAATAAAGTTTCTTTTTTAAAAAAGAAAGAGAGAGAGAGAGGGAAGAAGGAAGGAAGGAAGGAAGGAAGGAAGGAAGGAAGGAAGGAAGGAAGGAAGGAAGGAAGGCAGGAAGGAAGGAAGGAAGGAAGGAAGGAAAGAAAAAAGGAAAAGAGGGGCCGGGCACAGTGGATCACGCCTGTAATCTCAGCACATTTGGTGGCCAAGGGAGGAAGACTGCTTGAGCTCAGGAGTTCAAGAGAAGCCTGGGCAACGTTGGAAAACCTGGCTCTACTATTAAAAAAGGGGGGCTGGGGAGATTTCCACCTAGTGTGATAAGGATGTGCATTCTAAGACAAAGGTGGGTGTTACAGGTAGGTAAGAGTTCAGTGAGGAGGGGGTGGATAAGGAAGGAGATGGAGAAAGGACATGTTAAAAAGAAGCAGAGCAAAACTATAGATAGAAGAGAATGCAAGATGTTTTTAGAAAAGTTCCAGCTTCTCAATTGTGTTTGTAATGTTTTTGAACGAATGATGTAGAAAAGCCAGGTTAGTAGTGTACTGTCAAGAACTCTGAATGGCAGCCTGGACTTTGTTGAGTTTAGGAAGATTTAGAAAAATTAATGTGGTATAGTTAAAATGAAGATGGGTTTGACAGCAGGAAGGAATAATGTGGTATAGTTAGAATGTGCAGAATGGTTTGAGAGCAGGAAGGAATCTAGTTTGAAAACTCAGGTTGAGATAATTAGTGCCAGAGCAAGGAATTGAAAGGAAGAGAAAAACCAATGAGAATAATCTGTAAGGTCAAATTGCTAATGCTTGCAACTGACTGAATATGAGAGATCAGTGAAGAGGAGGCAAAAATGGCTTTTCATCATTAGACAGTCAACCTTTGGTCAGCAGATTAGAAATCCTTTTCCTGTGACTCATGCATTATCAGACGTCTCTGGTTTCCTGGAATTTTTGATGAAATTTCTGAATCTCTTAATCATAAATTTTTAAACCACAATTTTTACTATTTTGCTTATGTAGTAGTATCTCTATGACAGTTTATGGAGCGAAGAAAATTCTTTTCCAACTCCTGATATGAATCAGACCTAGTGTTACCACATTTGACTAATAATTGGTCTTTGAGATATCTATTATCTGAATACAATTTGTTGCCAATTTTTTTTGTGCTAGATAGTAGTGAATGGCTGGATCCATGTTTTTCTTAACTTATAAGAAAACTTAAGTTCAGTTTTCCTTAACTTAAGGAAAACTTCTTAGTGAACTCACAAAAGGTAAGGTGGGCCATCCCACCATACTGATCGCAAGTTTCCAGGGCTTCATCCATGTGCACACTGCTCACCGCAGCCACTGGGAGTAGATTCCAATGCATGGCAATTGGGGGGCTACATACCTAATTCACATCACCTCAAGCCACATCTCTGGGCCAGATTTCTCTCTTTAACTCTTCTCTTCAAAATCCAAATATGCATTTAGAAATCTTCACCTGGATGGCCCATCGGCACCTCAAATTCCACATAGCCAGAACAGAGTTCATTATCCTTTACCGAAAACCTACTTTTCCTGTATCTCTTGACACTTGGGTCTCAGAATCATGTTGTTCCCTCTATTCCTCTCGTTTTCTATGTCCAGTCCATTAGGAAGTCACTGCTTGGCAAATTTTGTGACAGAACCCTACTCTTCAGTTTAATTTTCTCGCCTTTTGCTTCAGTCCTATTTTGTCATTGTGGATGATGCCTGCAATCATCACTTGCTTAGGGTTTCTGCAACAGCTACAACAAGCCTCATGCCCTCCAGCCTCAGCCCCTTCAAACCTACTTGCTGTATTACAAGTAGAGTTATTTCTCTACCGTGGAAATTTGAAAATTTGTTATCTTATTTGAAACTCATCAATGGTTTCTAATTTCAAAATAAAGTCTAAACTCTTCACTCTAGTCCCCTGAGACAGCATGTATTATGTTACACAATGACTGGCTACTCTTTTATCTAAATCTTCCAACATAATGAAAGCTTCTAAATGGATTTGGAATGAACAAATAAATAGCATATTGTATATTTTCATGACATTGAACTCACAAACAAGAACATCATCAAATAAATAGTTTCTATTCTACAAAGGAAAAGAGTAAGACTCAGAGAGGATATTTAACTTGTTCAAGTAACACAGACAGTACTGACAGAAACTGGATTGAAAAGCAAATCTAACCCCAAAACACTACAGCTCAATGCCCTTTCATATGGCCATAGGTTTGTACTCGTTTTCTGATTTTGTAGTAGGCCTAGGTAAGCCTATGGTATACCTCTCATTGCTATTGTATATGTGCATATGTGTGTGTGTCATTAGATTACAAGCTATTCAAAAGCCGTATTCACCTTCACAGCCCCAGTGCCCAGCATAAAACCTTTTAGACATGCCTTTAGTGTGTTCTCAATGATTATTTACTGAATTAAATAAAATAGTGCAGTGGTGAAAATGATTTTGTTATTTAAGAAATAATGAAACTTAAACTAGTTATAAACATAAAGAAATTTTGAAGTACCATTTAAGTAGCACTATAGATGAGATATATAGCATATAAAGAAAAAATATTTGCTATATGCCTTTACCATTGGTAGCTCATGAATTTTAACTACTAAAGGAGACAATATATGTCTAAAAGCTTGGTGTTAGTAATAGCTCAGTGTTCTCAGGGTAAAATTTTCCAGTTAGATTATTAATAGGATTTCATTTTCCATTAGATTTGGATCGTCCTTGGCCAATGTTATTATTCAGTCTTTCATCTTCAAGTCTCTATATAGAAAAATTTATTTGGAATCATAACTCCTACCAATAATGAAAGCTTCCAGTGTGGGGGAAGTTAGTAAATTCTTAGGAAAGTGATTTCCAGGAGCCCTCCAGCTTTTGCTGAGGTGATCTTAACTCTGTATTGATCAGCTCTAACTATTTAGTTCCAGAAGCCACACTTCCATGATAAAATTTGAAAGAGTAAGAGAACAAGATGGAGTTGTCTTTGCAGAAACGAAATCACTGAATAAAGGCTGGGAAAATTGGAGGTGTGTAGCCTGGTGAGATGTTTCCGGAGAGGGTCATTTCTGCATTCAAGTACATGTATGGTGTTTGTAAGATACACATATAGAATTGCTTACTCCATGCCCTTTTTCTAGAAATTGGTCTTCTCTGTCCCCTTCTCTCACATGGTGGCAGCAGGAATGTTCGTGTTCCTACATGACAGAGCCCACAAGCACAGAAGATTTGTTCAGCGGTAGAGCTTCTTCCAGCCAGAGCAATCACTGTCTTTTCCAGGAATTATGGAACAGAAAATAAAGGGAGAAGGGGGATAGAAGTCCTCTGGATGGCAGGATCAGAAACGTAAAACTTTGGGGATATAGGTGATCATACTTTCTGCCACATGAACTCAAGAAGAGAGGAAATGAGGAGAGAGGCAGAGAGTTGGGGAGCAGAGATAAACAGAAGCCAGGTTAAATCAACAATGAGGAACATGGAAAGTATCTTGATTTTTTTTTTTTTTTTTTGTCGGAGTCTCGCTCTTGTTACCCAGGCTGGAGTGCAGTGGCACAATCTCAGCTCACCTCAACCTCCACCTCCTGGGTTCAAGCAATTCTCCTACCTCAGCCTCCCGAATAGCTGGGACTACAGGCTGCGCC